CCCCGGCTATCCCCAGGTTGGCTCCTGTGCCTGGGCTCACCGCCTCGTGCCTGGGCTTGCTGAGGGAGGACAGGACAGAATGAAGACTGTGAGGCTCGGGCTGCGGGCAGGGAGGGGGTGAAGAAACAGCCAATCGCAGAGTGCTTGCTGCCAGTCCATCCTGCCATCCTAGTGTTCAAGGGTCTACCATGAGCACAGGTGCAGCTCTGGCCCTCAGGGACGCTGCAGTGACAGTGACAGGAAAGCCCCTGCCCCAGCAGACTTGCATGTTCATGAGGGAGAAAGAGAATGCACAAATAACATAATGGGGGAGACGGTTAAGGAAGTGAGGGATGCCTGGGAGTCGAGCCTTCCGGGCAGAGGGAAAGCAAGCCAGGGACGCTGAAGCGGGACCAGGCTCGGCAGGCCCAAGGGCCACCAAAGAGGTGAGCACGGCCAAGTGAGCAAGGGGCTGATGCAGCAGGGAAGTGAGAAAGGAAAAGAAAGCCAAGGCATGGAAGGTCTTCAGGCTGCTGAAAGGACTTCGGGGTTCACTCAGAGCGTGATGGGAACCTCAAAGGGTTGTGAGTGAAGGGGCGACATGACTTAACAGGATCCCTCTGGCTACCTTGTGGGGTAGAGACTACTGCACCAGTCCAAGCAGTGAACAGGGGAGGCCACAGTAGTGGAGATGGTGAGAAGGGGTCAGATTCCAGATATGCTTTCAAAGTAAAGTCAATAAGATTTGCTGATGTACCAGCTACAGGGGTATCCGAAAAAAACATGCAGGCAAAAACGACCTAAAGTTTTCACTTCCACAACTGGTGGAACAAATGGAGGTACCAGTTATCAAGACAGGGAACACAGGTCGGGGAGGCCTTGAGCAGCTGGAAAATTAGTGGATAAAATACCAGAAGCTGATTCCAACTGGAAAAACCAACTTAAAGACAGCAGAGGGGACTCAGCCTTCCTCCTGGACATGGAAGAAGGCCACGAGACCCATCATCGCAGATGGTGGCCAGGCAGAGGAGCCTTCCCTGGAGGACCAGAGACATGCAGGAACTTAAACATGTACCCCCCAGAGACCTGGAATGTGCCTTCATTATTCATTCAAATACGTGAGGCCAACTGAATGCCGGGCTCAGATCCAGACAGTGGATACAAGAGTTCCCATCCTCATGGGGTTTGCCTCTGGGACATTTTCACACACACACACACACACACACACACACACACACACACACACACACACACACACCACCAAGGACACTTGCAGCAAATTGCTCTCTTCTGTTTGTTTCCTTAACTTAACAACAGTGACTAAGTCGTAAACTAAATGAGATGATATCTGCAAAGGTGCTTTGAAGCCTGCCGGCACAGAGTAAGCCCCCAGAACACCTCTGTCCAATCCTACCCACCAGGCGAAAGGAGAAGAAACAAGTCTCACTGCCCCAAGGCCTCTCCAAGTACCCTCAATCACAGGGCCCCTCCACCATGTGCCTCCAGTGTGTATATGTGTCTAATTCAATGGCCAGTATTTGCAGAAAGCTATGTATCTGTTCATGTGCAATTTCTAATTAAACACATAGTACTTAAATACGTTTTCTTTGTTCAAAAAAAAAAAAAAAAGAGCATTACAGATAAAGTATTAGGTTTCCTTTGGCCACACCCCCAGTCTCCTCCCCTCTCCCCTCAGAGTAACCACTTTTGTTGTCCTTCCACACCTTTTTCTAAGCTTTTACCTGCACTAATATCAACCCACCGAAAATACAGAATATTGTTTGGTGGAGTTTTTTTAAAAACATAAATGGCCCCAGAGCTTTTTTCAATTAGTAATGTGTTTTTGTGACCTACCCATGCTGAAACATATGTATCTAGTTCCTTCTTTCTAACATTTGCTTAGAAATCCATTGGAAGAAGACCTTCCACTTTACTTCCTGTTCCTCTATTGAAGGGTAGACTGAGATTCTGTGATCAGGATTCCTGTCCACCACTGTCACAAGCTCTGTACCCTGGCAAGTGACTGACCTTTGCCGTGCCTCAGTTTCCTCATCTACAGATGAGGAAGGAAAAATTCCAAAGCCTCAGCCTATCTCATAAAGTTGTCAAATTCAAATGAGAAACTAGGTACATCCAAGGCACTTCCACACACATGTCCTTTGTACCTTGTGTAATATCTCCAGGAGGCAAATCAGATTTGACCCCTGTCTTAGAGCTGAAGAAGGAAGCCCCAGATCAAAGGTGAAGTAACTGGTCTGAGGTCCCAGTTACTTCAAATGGCAGCAATGGCACAGCCAGGCCTACAACCTTCAACTGCAGAAACGGACACAGTTTTCAAAACGCATCATGTTCCTGCTCAACCTCATGAGGAATGTGAGAAATGTAAATCAAACCCATCAGGTGAACACAAAAAAATGATAATACTAGACCAGTCATCTCCAATGACAGTAGAGATGATGGGTCGTGGGGGAGTCCCGCACCTTGTTGGGGGCAGTGTAAACAGTAGAGCCATTCAGAAGGGCAATTTGGTGGTAACTAACAAAACTCAAACTGAGCACACCACTGGCTCCACTTCTAGAAGCCTACATGATAGAAGTGTTCATACACGCACACAGACAGGTGTGTATCAGGACAGTCACTGTCATTTGTGACAGAAAAAATTATCAGTCAATGGAAAAACAGGTAAACAAGTGAACATCCATTCAAAGGAACACCATGCAGTGGTGAAGAAAGATGTGGTCGATTTATATGTTCTGTCATGGAAAAATCTTCAAGCAACATGACTGAATTGGAAAGCAAACTGCAGAATATTTATACATAGTATAGTTCAATTTACGTAAAAATCATGTATTAACATGGATATGTACACGCTTGTGATATTACCACCGATGGTGGTAATATCTGAGGAGGGGAATAAAATGGGGGAACTTTCTCTATTTTCCTCAATTTGAATTTTTTTTTACAAGCAAGTATTCATGTCTTTTACATATGGACTTCTTGAATTAACCAAAGAGCATTAAAAAAAAAAAATCAAAGCACAAGACCTCCCATTCAAGTTGCACATGGACATGTACAGCTAAAGAAAACACCAGTGGGCAGTCCCTCCCTACTCTAGTGTCCCACCCTCTTGGTCCCCTGAACACAGACTTTCTTCTTCGGCGAGAAGGCATTTGGCCACTGCTCCAGCCTGGGCTGTCCAAGAACTGGCTGTTTTGGGCTGGGCATGTCTTCCTGCTTCCACACCACTCAGCCCCAAACCAAACACCTTTGGGATGCTCACATGAAGGATGCTGGAAGGCTCTCACAGCTTTAAGCCCAGAGTTCCCAGCTCCAGGACAACTGAGAACAATGTGGTTTCCTCTTTGGAAGCCCAGAGGAGGATTGGGGAAATTCAGTGGTGCACACACACACCCCTAGACACCTTTAAGCCAACCAACACCCTGAAATAAGCCCAAGAATGATGGGGCTGACAAGATTCTTCATCTGGTTTCAATCCCCCTATACCCCCCAAACAAGAGACTAGGTGCTCTTTGCCTAGGGTCACATGCTTGTACTACCCGAGTGACAGACTCTCCAGGGAGCCGGCAGTGTGCATGCTCGTGGTATATGAACATGCCATGGCAGAAACCACAAGGCTGTCACTGAAATAAAGCTTGCACAGCCACTTTGAAAAGCATCACAGAGAAACACCTCTGCACTTCCACGGGGAGGAAGAAACAGTTCTGCCTCTCCCACATCGTAAGCTTTTCCCGCCATCCCCATAGGCAGTGTCACCATCCACCAGGACCTCTTTGCAATCAGATTACAGGACTTAATGAGCCAAGATTTGAAAAACTAAAAAAAAAGACACAGAGTGACCAATATGACTCAGGCAACTACCCACCCAGAGACCTTGAGAAATGCCAAATGTTGCTCCATCTTTAAAGCCAGCTGGGTCCCAAGAAGGGGCAATGGGGTCTCAGCAGAAGTATCCTTCATTCATTCACTCTGTACACAAGGCACAGACATGAAATGTGGACGAGTCCCGATTCTTAGGAAACTCATTCTAGTAGCAGTAAAGAAACTCAGTAAAGAAGCAGGCTAAGGGAAAAAGATGTCAACTGGCGTGGCAGTATCCACATCCTCAACTCAGCTCTGTGTCTGGCTGTATCTTCCACAAAGGTGAGCCTCAGTCAAAGCTCTGAGACGCTTTTAACTCAAAAGTGACAGTGTGCAATCTCCCCTGCTTTGCTAACTCCAGGCTCATTCAAACAGGCCACCCAGGCACCTGGGGCAGTCTGTTGGTCTGAAGGCCAGCTAACAGCCCAATTTGTATCCCTGGTTAAAAGGGCGATGGTGCACGAAGGCTGTGTGTGCTCAGAGGGCCTCGGGCTTTTGCCTGCCTCTGCGTGAATCTAGGGAGAAAAGCAGCTTATCGTTTCCAGTCTGCATCAAGAAGGCAGTGTGGGTAGAGAACAGAACTGGGCATTCTGCTGCTGAGAAAGGGTTTCTGTGGGAATATTTTGTACAGCAAGGATGCTCTCCTGAGCACCTACTATGGGCCGGGCACCCACATGAGCCTCACAAGAGCACATGAACGGAAGGTTCCTGTCCTCATGGACTCACAGAATACAAGCAAAGTGCAGCCCTAATTTTACCAGACACTGCTACTGGCTGCTGTGAAAAACAGAGGCGTTTGAGCGGCACCACGGGGATAACATGGCCATACTCCTGACCCGTCGTGGGCCCCCAGACCCCTTAGGGTGGAGTCGGACCCCCAGGTGATCTCTTTTTCAGGCATCCCCAACCCTGGCTTGCGCCTCCAGCAAAGCCGCTGGGTGCTCTCCTTGCCCCCACCCTCAGTCTGGACAGGTGAGGGTACTGGGGAGGTGGGCAGCTGCCCCTTCCGATGCGCTCCGGCCCAGGGCACCGATCCCGGCTCCGGTAGCCAACCCACCAGCAGCGCACTTGGTCCTCCTCGGCGCCCAGCGCTCTTCAGCTGGGACCCCGCACACGGACCCCCGGGGGTGCCCCTCACCCACCTTGAGGACCTGCTCCTTGATGATCGAGGGCACCATCACGATCATGACGACGCCCATGACAGCGCACAGCAGCCCCGTGACGCCAAACGCCGCGGCCGCCCAGCGCGCCTTGGCTCTGCTGCCCATGTCTTGCGCCCTGGTGTCCGCCCGGCGCTTGCGGGGCTCCGCGCCTGCAGGGGGACTGGGACGGCGACCAAGGCGACAGATGCAACAGAGGAGAGGACTTCGGGGACGGCGGGCCCCGGACAGCAGCGCACGGAGGAGTGGGCGGCAGGTGGCCAGAGGTTTTATGCGCCATCACCAGCTTGGCTGGACCGCCCCCGGGCCGCCCTGGGCACAGGGATTCGGGCCTGCGCGCGAGGGCGGGAGCGGCGAGGGGCGGAGCCTGAGCGGGCCGGGGGCGGGCCGGGGGCGGTCGAGGAGCGGATGGGCTGGACCGCCCCCGGGCCGCCCTGGGCACAGGGATTCGGGCCTGCGCGCGAGGGCGGGAGCGGCGAGGGGCGGAGCCTGAGCGGGCCGGGGGCGGGCCGGGGGCGGTCGAGGATCGGATGGGTCGAGGGGCGGGGCCACGGCCGCCAGGACACGCCCCACCAAGCGGTGGCCGACCTCCCCCACTGGCTTCCGTCTCCCGGCGGGAGCCGCCGAGGTCTCGCGGCGGGTCTTCCAGGCCTGGCGCCCTTCCCCCTCCTAGCTCTCCTCTCCCTGCGTCTCTCTCCCTCCCTTTCCTCCCTCCTCTCCCACTTCCTCTGTCAGGAGACATCATCGCTGCCTACGTTTAGCAGGAATTGACCCGCTCACTCAGGAACATCAAAGCCCATGAGATGAGCTCCCGCCCCAGCACCACCACTTCGGGACCTCATCTCCCCCGTCCGCGCACACACATTCTGTTCCAGCCTCACTGTCCCTGGAACAAGCCTAGCAGGCTCCTGCCTCAGGGCCCTTGTACACCCTCCACGCGGAGTTCCGTTTGCCCAAATACCCGCCTGCTCCTTCATGACTGTCTGTCACCTTATCAGGAAGGCCTTCCTCAGCGCTCCCTGTTAACCTTCCCGCTTTACCACTGGCACCACCTGGCGCTTTACATGTTCATTTGCAGGCCTAGGAGGTAGGGGGCTCGGTCTCTGGATCCCTGCGGAGACCCTACTGCGGAGTGCTACAACACTGCCTGGCAGGGAATGCTTGCTCGCAATAAATATTCCAGAATAAACACATAAGGAGCCTTCCAGGTGCTGGTCCTTGTGCTAAACGCTTTGACCACAATGGCTTCATTTTACAGATAAGGAAACTGAGGCACAGAGAGATTAAGTCAACAAAACTAAGTCCCTGCTTTCTAATGAAGACGAGACAGATGATGAGCAAGTGAGCTAATGAACCGTGGATAATTGCAGATAAGCACGCTGAGAAAACCAAATAGGATGGGCAGCAGCTAGCACTGAGTGGTGGCTGCCCCCAGATAGACGTGTGCCCCTGTAGTCCTCCACGGCCCCCACCTGGCTTGCCTCCTGCTGCCCGCGCCCCGCACCCCACACTGAGTTTTGGGCCTTTCATGTAGTCCAATCTCCTCGTTTTCTGGATGGGGTCACTGAGAGGACAAGAGACTCCTCCTGGGTTGCACAGGGACAGGAGGATAGTGTCCCCAGCATCTAGGTAAGGCAGGCCCAGTCCTTGAAGGCTCAGCACGAGGCCTGCTAAAATTCTTACACAACCATAGAAAAAAGGAGCCTTCTCCCAGGCCCAGCCTTAAGCAACATGTCCTGGCCTGAATCAATATTTATTGGGCACCAGCTATGTACTGGCCAGACAGCCTTGCCTGGTACTGTCTTCCCCTGCGGAGACCTGACATTCCAGTGTCCCAAGGAAGGGGCCCAACCCTGACCCAGATCAGGGTGGCCTGGGCAAGGCTGTGGTGTCAGACAGGAACAGGCTCAGAGAAATCCATACTTTGGGATTTCTCACCCCAGAATTCTAGGGTAAGTGGTTTGGGTCTCACGGTGCCTCAGTTTCCCTATCTGTAAAATAGGGATAATAAGAGGCTCTCTCCAAGGACCGTTGTGAGGATTAAACAAGTTGGAAAAATGTGACAGTGCTTAGAACAGTGCCTGGAATGTGTAAGTGCAGTCAAGCCAGTTGTTATCCCATGGCCTTACATACCCTGGCCCCTGCCTGCCTCTCTGCCCCCATCTCCTTCCTGCTCCCTGCTTGCTCACTATACTCCTGGCCTCCCAGCCTTCCTTCTGTTCCTCGAAAACCCCCAGCTTCCTTGCCACAGGGCCTTTGCACTTACTGTTTCTTCTATCTAGAATACTCTTCCCCTAGAACCTTCCATACCTGACTCCTTCTCCTCTTCCAGGTCTCAGTTCAAAGTCCATTCCTCAGAGAAACATTTGCTGTTTAATCTGTTGAAAATGGGAGCCGCAACTCACTCTCTATGAAATCACCCCATTTATCTGAAATTGTCTCATTAATCTGTTTACTTGTTTGTCTCTCCCAGAAGCTGGGTGTTTTTGCCAATGGCTGTATCCCCAGCAGCTGGAACAATGCCTAGCACATAGCTGTACTCAATAAATACTTTAAGTAATCAATTAGCTAATTAATTTGTTAATCAATCAATTACTTGATTGATTCATTCATTCATTAATATAATTTCATTAATCAGTTACTTGATTGAATAATTAATTAATATAATTTCACTGAATTCTTTAAGGCCTTCAACAGCCTTCAGCTATGGAGATTGTTTTTTATTTTTAATGACTTTTGTAGTTCTCAGAAATTAGCCAATTAACTATAAACTGGCATTTGCCCAGGCCTGATGCCCTCCCCCTCTTTTTCCTTTTGGTGGCTGTCCAGTATGGGAATACAAACCTGAGACCTTGGTGTTAGAAGGCCTTCCCCCTCTTTCTTGATACCAAATTGCCTTGACCATCTCACCCAATCTAACTTTTATTTATTACTCAGTCTTCAAGGTCCAAATGTACGTGGTGCTTACCCAAGAGAGCCAGCTCCAAGGCCGTGCATGGCCGGAGCACCCTCATGTCACGCCACACTGTCACTTGACAAAGGAGAAAGGCAGAGATGAAAGGATGTGGGACACATGACCAACCTTGACCTCGCTGGGAGGAGGAGTCACTTCTAGTGGCAGGGAGGGCGGGAGGGCCACCTAAAAGCAGGGAGAAAAAAAAGACTTCATCATGTTTTAGAAAGAGGCTTTGCCTTGAGAAAAAGATACAGAAGAAAAGGAGAGTAATCATAATAAAATATTATCAGCATGGGTGTAGGAGGGATCCTGCAAAAACCAAGTCAGAAGGTGTTCTTCCTCTGCTTGAAACCTTCCCATGATCAAAAAAACAGGTAATAAGTTTTTGCAAAGATGTGGAGAAATTGAACCCTCCTCCACTGCTTGTGGGATTGTAAAATGGTGTAACTTCAAAAGGTTGAACACGGAATTACAGTAAGACCCAGCAGTGAAGGGAAGCACATGTCCACGCAAAATGTGTCCACAAGTGTGCACAGCAGCACCCTTCACAGGAGCCACAAGTGAAAACAGCCCACATGCCCATCAGCTGATAAGTGAATAACATGTGGTCTATCCACACAACAGAATATTACGCAGCATAAAAAGGAATGAAGCACACGCTCCGACATGCATGAACCTTGAGAACGTTAAGTGACAGAAGCCAGACACAAAAGGATACATATAGGATTCCATTTATAGGAAATGTCCATAACAGGTAAATCTATAGAGACAAAAAGTAGATCAGTGGTTGCTGGGGGCTGGGGAGAACAAGAAGTGACTGCTAATGAGTACAGCGTTTCCTGTTGGATTGGTGAAAACATTCTAAAATTGACTGTGGTGATGGTTGCACACTGTGAATATACTAGACGCTACTGAATTGCACACTTTAAATGCACAAATGTGTGATATGTGGGTTATATCTCAACAAAAGCTGTTATTAAAAAAATTTCCCATGGCTCCCATCTTACCCAGAGTAAAAGTCAAAGTCCTCACCATGTCCCACAAGGTCACCATCATCTCCCTGGCTTACTTCCCCTCTCCTCCCTGCCTGCTGTGCTGCAGCCACGCCTCCTGGGAGTTCCTCCACCTGCTGCTGTGCTCCTGCCCCAGGGCCTTTGCATTTACTGGTCCCTCTACTGGAAAGCTCATCATGAGCAGGAGGCTCACACAACACACGTGAGGCTCACCCTCCCTTCCTCAGGTCCTTGCTCAAATATCATCTTCTCAACAAGGACTTCCTTCCTATCCACCCTTTTGAAATTACAAACCATCCTGCACAATACGCCCTATCTCCCTGGCCTTCTTTATTGTTCTCCCTAGCACTTATCACCGTCCAACACACATGACACATGTATTCATTTGTTTTATTGGTTTCCTTCCTCTTCTAGGACGGATAAAGTTCTACAAGGGCAGAAATCTGTCTGTTTCATCCATTACTGTGCTCCCAACTCCCAGAACAGTGCCTGGCACACAGTGGGTCTTCAGTCAATATGTGTTGATGAAGCACAGCTACCAGAGCCCAGTGGTTAAGAGTGGTCTCTGCACCCAGGTTGCCCAGCTGCCCTGCTTGGTGGCCTTAGGCAAGTTGCTTGACCTCTCTGTGCCTGGCTTCCTTATCTGGGCCATGAGGATGATCTAAGTAGTGCCTGCCTCCTGGGGTAGTCATGAGGATTAAATGGATTAATCCTGGTAAGTTAGCAAGGTGCCTGTGTCAGGTGTGGCCATCACTCCGTGCAGGCAGCTACATGCCGTCTGCCCCACCCCAGCCCGGGAAGAATTATTATTACCTCCAGGGGCAATGGAAGCACATGGCGTAGAAGCCAAATGACTTGATTCAAAAGAAGCACAGTTGGTTAGTGGCAGAGCAGAGACACTGGGAACTTAAACCAAAGTCACTTGACTGCAGAGCCCAAATGTGGCCACTACTCTCTTTGCTGAGGGAAAGGGAAAAGAGGAAGAAAGTGGAGGAGAGGGGAGAGATAGGGGAGAAAGGACAATGAGCATAAGAACAGGCAATAGAGGAAGAGGAAGCAGTCCCATTTTGGCCTCATCTGCCTCCTACATCGCTACTGGCAGGGCAGGAAAGAGAGCACATGTTTACTTGTGTATTCAATCAAATGATATTAATTGAGCACCTACTATGTGCTGGGCACTGAGCTAGGTGCTGGGGACCCAGCAGTGATCCCTAGCCTTGCAGATCCTGAACTCTAGTAAACCAGCCATAACAATAAGTGATAAATGTAACCACTGGTAAATGTTGTAATATGTTGGGGCTGTGCTATCTGAAAGAAAGTGAGCCGA